TGATTTTCAATATAAATTTTAACCCTTTGAAGCACAGCATTTTTTTCTCCGATTTTCTCTGAATATGATTATGAAGGTGGTAATAAATATATACCACTGTGCGAGAGTAGGCTATTTTTTGAAAAAGTGGTATATTACTTATACCACCATGCTTCAAAATGTTAAAATGCAATAAAATGATTTGAAATTAATATTTTATTTTTATGTTTTAATTACGCCCTATGTCTGAAATCACACCACAAAAAAAAAACCAAAATAGTCAATATTAATAAGTATCTAATTTAGTTCAAGCTATATCAACAGCAGCTCAAAAAAAAAAAAATATATACATACATATAATATAAAAAATTAACATTAAATAGTTAGTAAAAATAAATGTTCAGACAATTTTTTTGATTTTTGATTACTACTCATAAAAACGGTCTAAGAACACAAAATGTTGAACGCTAAAATAATCTAAAGACAACTGTTTTAAGAATTTAAAAAGATGATATAGGGACTTTTGCTGATGCTTTTAAAAAACATACCTATAATTTTTTATAATAAGACTGTGTAAAAATGCATTTATTCGTTGGTTAAATAAGTATTATAAAGCCAGGGAGTAAAAACTGGAATGATTACAATAGCAAAGATGTTGCTATGTATAATGTGATTAAAATAAATTAGATCATGTAATATAGTTATTTCTTATTAGAGCGGAATGAACACATAGATATTTTATGTCAATAATGTATATACATTTTAAGCACACAAAAGTAGCCCCAGGTGTATAAAACTAAAAATCGATTGCTTTTAGATCTGAACAATTTTTATTCAGTGCATCAAATATACTATTATTATTATTTAAAAAAATATTTTTCATTATATATATAAATATATATATATATATATATATATATATATATTATTTTAACAACAATAAACTTTTTTTTAATGAATCCATGTATTATGTTATTTTTAGATTGGTAAATAAATGTTTTTCTACTAAATAATTTACAATAATACTTCCTAAAAAAAAATTATCTGGAAAGTGAAATCAGATACATGATTTAAAAAAATAAAGTTATATGTTTGTCAATTTCAAAGAATACAAACTATATTTTCAACTTTAATGACAATTATTAGATTTTTCTTAGCTTGAATTGTTGATTTACACATAGCTTACCTACAATGTCTGAATTTTCCAAAGTTAAAATATTAAAACCACAAATTAAGTCAAAAAACAATTTAAAAAACCCCAAACGGTTAGTGATAGTACTCGATAGTGATCATACATATTTATATAGGTAAATCATCCTACTAAATGAAATAATTAAAATATATTCAAATAATGCCAATTTAACGTGAAATAATATATCATTAAAAAAAAATATATAAAAAAACTAAAATAATTTGTATTCTATGTAGTGATCATAAATGTACAGCTTTAACAAAAAAATGTGAAATAATTAATGTTTTAATTATTTGTACATCAGTATCGTATGTGTGTGCACGTTCAGAAACTAAAGCGTTAAGAGAAGTCGGTTAAGACACTGTATAATGAAAAAAAAACTGTCAATTTAAATTAGGGTTGAGTATAGAGATTAGATAGATACAAAAAATCAACTTCTACGGTGTAAGTTCTCTGTTGGCCGCAGGCAAATTAATCGGTGACGGTATAGGATAACAGTCTGTAACCGATGGTAACAATAATAACTACTTATTGTATTAATTAAAGACAGGGTAGATAGAAGTAGCAATCAATCTTCTAAACGGACACGCGTCGGTTATGATTTCACTATAGTATTGGCCTAAAACAAATAATTTACATATTTATAAAATAAGTCAGTAAGTTATTTAATTGAAAATAAATAGTAGATATATATGTCAACAAATTTTTCAACAAAAAATATGAAATGTATCGTTATCACCACGCACAGCGGTTTGAAAAAGATAAGAATTTTGTACATCTAATTAATTTGATAATTTGGTTTAAGCAAAATGTAATATACTACTATACTATATATTATTATATATATTCTAAATCTAAAAAACGTACCGACATCCAACGACGCATATTAATAGGTAATGTTTGCACACCGGGAAACACGTCGATTTCTCTTGAACGAAAACCGTGAGCGAATTACGGACAAATATGTAATTAATAATAACTATTATACGTTTAATATATCATTGTATGTATATAATATAACAAACTACAAAGACAAAAATTCACCAAAAAAAACAAAACACGCCGTTCGCCGTTTTTAATTTTTATTATTATATATATGATAACGTTTGACACACCGGGAAACACTATTGAATAAAAAAACACGTATGACAATGAACAACAGTGTAATTAATAATAATAATAATAATTTTACGTTTAATTTAATTTAAGGAAAGTACAAACTCGGCAAAAAAAACAACACACGCCGTCACCGTTATTATTTGATACGATAACGTTGTGACATGATAAAAACGCGCGCAAACGCCACGCGCTGCCCAAGCCGCCTCAGATGCTTGTCTATGAGCGAGATGTATTATATGAATCCCATGGAAGAGACGATTAGGCGACTGGCGGGAGTCGGCTATTTGAATTGACATTTTATATATTAGATTAGATGTTATTTATTATTAAAATAAAATCATTTTTTTTTTGGAACTATTAATAAAATAGCTGCCTAACCTTCCATACTCTCTCCACTCTTCTCTATTATTGGCCAGTCTCTCTTCAGTTCCCTTTAAGTTCTCAGTCCAGCATCTTTATTAATTTTATTGAATACCGTTGTTCTCTGACGTCCTTTGCCTCTCTTGCCTTCAATTTGTCCTTCCAATATTCTGCGATTTAGTTCCTTTTAATGTCTTTAAGTATGTCCAATTAGTCATTAGTAATGGTTTGTACATTCAATACATCTGCTAAGGTAAAATTAAATTTTAAAATAATAATAAACAATTGTGTAAAGAATATATTTTTTCAAAAATTTATAATTTATTGTACGACAATGTTTTTTTGTAGTGACAATGGTACGAGAAATGAAGTGGATAAAAAAACTGACGGTAGTTATTTCGAATCGAAGATTGAAACAGATAACAATCAACAGACAGAAACCAAGAATAATAGTAAATATATAACAATATGGCGGTTCTTCCAATGTAATTTATGTCAAAAAATATATAACACAAAAAAACAAATAACTCTACATATATTAAAATCCCACCAAAGTTCAACGGACAACATTAGTCAACCCTATAAATGTGACGTCACACTTCACCAACGCGTGCACACAGGAGAAAAGCCTTATAAATGCACTGTGTGCTCAAGGTCATTTTCTCTCAAATCCACCCTCACAAAACACGAACGCGTGCACACCGGAGAAAAGCCTTATAAATGCACTGTGTGCTCAAGGTCATTTTCTCTCAAATCCACCCTCACAAAACACGAACGCGTGCACACCGGAGAAAAGCCTTATAAATGCACTGTGTGCTCAAGGTCATTTTCTCTCAAATCCACCCTCAAATTTCACGAACGCGTGCACACCGGGGAAAAGCCCTACACATGTGAAGTGTGTTTACAATCATTTTCTCAAAATAGTAACCTCACACAACACCAACGCTCGCACACCGGAGAAAAGCCTTATAAATGCACTGTGTGCTCAAGGTCATTTTCTCTCAAATCCACCCTCACAAGACACGAACGCGTGCATACCGGGGAAAAGCCCTACACATGTGAAGTGTGTTTACAATCATTTTCTCAAAATGTTAACCTCACACAACACCGACGCGTGCACACCGGTGTAAAGCCTTTCGTATGTAATATATGCTCAAATACTTTTTCTACAAAATATTCCCTTATAAATCACCAACGCGTCGTGCACACCGGAGAAAAGCCTTATAAATGCACTGTATGCTTAAAGTCATATTATCTCAAATCCACCCTCACAAAACACAAATGCCGTGCACTTCAGTATAATGTCATTCAATGATTTATATAAAATACAAACCAAAATTATTTTTCATATGTACAATGACATTTTTATTTACATAACCTTAAACATAAAATACAAGTTTGCAAAAGTTTATGTCATTTTGGAGCGAATGAAAAGTCCTATTGAATATAATTAATATTGTCTATTTGGGTCATAGAATATAAGTATGTTATAAGTAATAAATATAATATAACCTTATATGGTATTATATGTGAACACTATAGAAATCATTGAGTAATATTTAAAAATTGTTTTATACAATGACCAATTACATTTGTAACCTAGATTATATCATATGTAAGACATAGTATTAAGGTGTTGGATTTACCACTCTATTACGACTACTGTTATAACTGTAACGTATGTTGAATAATAGTGGTCCTTTTTCATAGACGAAAAAAAAAATAACAATTTTTAATTTCTTACCCTCTCATTTTGTTACCATAAACAAGAAAGTAATGTATGTTAATTTGACTGCGATAACTGACCCCATTCACTTGGCACAAGAGAGTTGAAAAATTAGCAAAAGGGAAGTTTTATAGTTTTGTTAATTTATTTCAAAATCTAAAGCATTTATCACAAAAATGTATTTAATATTAATTATTAAGCATACAAATGTCTATAAAATATGTTCTTATATAATTTTTCGTAAATCCATTACATTTAAAGAAAATTAACAAATTATTAATATTAAATTTATTTAGCCAAATTGATATTTTTATAGTTACTTTACTTTATTTTCCGAAAACTTGAAGATCGATCAAATATTATTTAAATCAATTATATAAAATTAAATTGCACATAAAAATGATGTTAGGATATATTCTTAAATAGTTGGATGCACTACTCAATTGTTATAGCCAGTTTTATTTAATTGAGCTAAAAAAAAAAAAAAAATATTACAAAAAACTTTTTTCTGTGATCTTCAACAACTTGTAATAAGGATTGTTTTTGGTCTTCATTTTTCGTCAGTATATTGTTGTAATTTTAAATAAGGGCCACTCCTCTTTCAGCAAAATCATTGACCACTTTCATATTACGAACAATATTTGCTCCCAACTGAAAATCTTCTCTTTCTTCCCAATTGTCCGGATCTACTTTAAGAAATTCAACCGGTATATTTAATATCTTAAAAAAATCAATTGACTCTTTGTTTACAAAATCAGCTACGGTCTTCTCAGTAAAAGATGAATCAGATACATTTATTTTAATTCTATTTTGAAATGAATGTTCTGAGTGTACTCAAAGCTACCACCATTTCTCTTTTAATTTTACTCGATATATTAGGATCAAAAAATGAAAAACATACAAGTAGGTTTGATAAATACCATTGATGTCTCAAAAAAACCACACATCCCGCTGTTGCTACATCTTTATCTGGATATGAAGACAGCTGTTTTAATAAGTTCAAATCATTAGCAGGGGCAGATACGGCACAGGGAGCTTTAAACCAATAGAAGACATAAATTTGGACAATAAATAATGAGAACCTTTTCATTCCACTTAATACCTTTTTGGTTGTCTTAAATTGGTTTTTAAATAAACATATTTTTATGACATAAATCGCACGTGCCATCCATCGCGCACGATGTAAAGCTCCTGGCTGCATAAACTTTATACCTTTAGAAGGTACATCACCAAGATAAATAATAATTAGTTCCAAGAGCTCTCTATAATCGTTACGGGAATGGGTTAAAGTGTATTGTTTTTTACAAAATAGTATGGTTTCGTCTTGATCAATTATATTTTCTTCAACTGTTTGAAACTGACTTGTATTGATATTTTTCCAAAATATAAAACTTGTTATTGCCAAGTATTCACAAATAACAGTTTATTTGATTATCTTATTTACTTTGCATACAAATAAAAACTCAAGACTTACCATGGTAAGTATGTACCATTGTGTACGGTAAAACGTTAAAAATATATACAAAGGGTGTTAAAAAATCCTGTGATCGTCCTTGAGTGTTCGAAACTATGAATTTATAGTTAGGCTTAGAATTTTTTAGTTTCAATTTCAATTATTTACTTTGAGAGTCATGGTCCACGGTTGAAGACGGTTAATTCGGGACACATTGTAAATTAGAGAAACAGTTTTTTTTATGACTGATCAAAATTTGAATACCACCTTACGTGAGAAAGAAAAACGTGTCGCCATTGAACTGAAAATTTTTTTGTTTTTATTTCCACGGAGAAAAACAATCGTAATTGTAATCATGATTTGTTAGGTGTTTTGCATATGATTTTAAATATTACTCAGTTATTGGAAATCAACACCTTTTCTGAATACCTGTATACCACTAATAAAAAAAAAAATGCAAATGATCATTATAACATTAGTGTCTTTATATTTAGTACCTATTAATTATACCGTGTTCAAAAGTACCGGAGTGGTATAATGTGATTTCCATGAACCGTACAACTACGGTTTTTACTTGTATTATAGAAAATGTTGAATAAAATAAGCCATCCAAATACATGTAACTTAACGTGGGTAATCCTTTTTATATATTATTAACATAATATTATTAGTTATTTTTACCGGTTGAACGCCACAGTTAGTGTTTGTAACGCGATTTATTGCCTGGTATACAAAAATAGATGAGTTCATCATATTATTTCCGTCGAAAGTTATTGTTGTGATAATTGGCCAATTTGTAAACACTTCCAATTAACCATATTTGAGAATCTAAAAGGGTCTTTTGTGGGGAGGGGGAGAATGCTTTAGATAAATTACTCTTTTGAGATTTGGCAGAGCCTATCCTAGATTGGAGATTTTTGAAATATCGATCAAATCATTAACTAAACCATGTTTTGCTCACCTGTAGTATAGTTCTTAAAGACAAATGTAAATTAGCGAATAAGCAATTAAATGTAGACCCAACAGCCAAAACAAAACTACACAAAATTGTTTTTTTACCTAACCCATTTCTGGACAATAGTGCGTACGCGCACCATAAAATAAATACATCCGGAAATGGGTTAATTTTAAAAGTGTTATCTTTTCTCCCATCTCTTTAAAGGTAATTAAAACTTAGTGTTCTTTAACAATTAGAGTATTAAAATAAAGACCGCAACTCCCGAGGAAGCCAAAGTACGGCTCTTGTTTTTTTGATAGTGTTAGTACGTTGCGTTCAGGCTATCAACCCGTTTATTATAGTTATAAAGCTAGACAATATAACTGTCTCGAGCCAGAATTATTTTAATACTGAACCAATTACTTCGATCAGCAACTCTACAAATCGCAAATTTCATCTAGTTGGTACTTTGAGAGGTAAAATTTGAAAAAGTTTACTTCTTCATTGATAAAATTTGAAAAAAAACCATACGAGTTTAATTTTTACTGGCTATAATTTCGAGAAAAAGAGTCGGTATGAGTTGAAATTTTTTAAGGAATATTTATTAGGTATGCGGGCACACGTCAGTTGTATCAAATTTAATTTGTACCTAGTTACCACCTCCCAAGGGGGGTACAAGATTTTTTTTTTTGGGTGGGTATTTTAGCCGTAATTTTAAGACCTTTAAGTTAAAAATTTGTCAACAACAATTTCATGTAGTTCTATGCAGACTGATACTATTAAGTTTTGATTCTCAAGTTCAATTTTTGGGTTTTAATTTAATTTATTTTAGCTTCGATGCAAAGCGAGAAGGTATTGGTTTTACTCTGATGTGTGTTTTTTTTTTAACTGTATACACTGTAACTTTTTTAATATTGGACCAATTCCTTCGAGTAGTAACTCTATAAATCGCAAATTTCATCTAGTTGGTACTTTGGGGGGGTAAATGTTGAAAAAGTTTAATTCTTCACAGACGAAAGTTGAAAAAAACAAAAAAAAAACCGTACGAGTTTTTAAGTTAGAACTTTTACTGGCTATAATTTCGAGAAAAAGAGTCGGATCGAGTTGAAATGTATAAGAAATAATTATTTGGTATGCCCGCACACGCAAGTTGTGTCAAACTTAAACTATACCCATTTTCCACCCCCCTAGGGGGGGTATAATTTTTTTTGTTTTTCGGGGTTTTTAGCGGTAATTTTGAAACTTTTGGGTTGAAAATTTGCCAGTAGTTGGAACTCATATGTACCCATAACATATTAAACGGGAAAAAAATTCGGCACTACAGTTTTTTTTTAATTGCCGGGAAATTGTGTTTTCGCAGATTTCGTATATTTTAACAAAAACACCTAAAATCTTTAAAAAAAATTGATCAAATCATTAAAGCAATTTTATTTATATCTATGCAGAATGATACTATTAGGTTTTGTGCTCGAGTACCACTTTTGACTTTAAGTTTACACAAATTCAATTTTTTTTTTTTTTTTTTTAACTAAAAACCCGGTGTACCAGTTGTGAGAAACGAACAGACACTAAAAATTATCAGTTTGTAACGTCTATCCGTGTTAGATTAGGTTAGGGCCCAATGATCGGTATCATAATATTGCGTTTATTACATGATATCACAGACGACTAAATCGTGTAACTGATTATAGTAGACACTCGATTTACTGGGAAAAAAACCTATCCTTGTACTTATTAATACACTTAATGGTTCTGATACGACAAAATCACTGTCGTTATCTCGTTGTTTTATAGCCTGCGTTATATAACCTTACCGGAGTGTAACTATGAGTGTATAATGTCCAACTACCTGCAAATAATGAAGAGGACTGTTGTTTTTTGGATTCAGATTAATCACAATTTTCTTAAAGGAAAACTAATGTTTTGCATATTGTTATACTGTTATTCATTTAAAGAGATTCACGCTTGATTGTTTAAATTGTCTAATATTAGATAATCTGCTTCATGCTAATTTTAGTTTTTTAGTTTATCAACTTGTAGCTCTAGTTTTGTATAAAATATTTCATTATTTTATTACCATGTACAGATTAAGATAAATTTTAATAATAATTAAGTCATAAATGATAATACTTTATTTTATGACTAGATCAAATCTCGTGAACATTTAACATCATGATACTGCTCCTAAGATATTATTAA